GKTYCYTWAAMYTTTTTTTTAATATTCAAGCTTATCGGGCCTCTGATTTTCAATTGAATTGGTTAATAGGATAATCGTAGATAGGCACATAAGCATGACGTATTCCTCTTGGTATTAGAGCTTATCAAGTTACAATATCAAATRAGTATTCGATCCAAAAATAGAATYCGACAAAGATTGATCAACAATGAGAGACATCATCTTGAGGGGCATGGATCACACATTAAAAAGATAAGAGACCGACCAAAGTTTATAATATAAATGAGTTACTCCTCTCATCACCAGTTGATTTTGAGATGGATCCTATATGAATATTAATATGGTATTAGAGCCCAAAACGTTCAAACAAACATTAGGTCCAAAAATAGGATCCAACCAAAATCGATGAGTCACATATTAATATGATATCAGAGCCCAAAACACTCAAACTATAATTTGGCCAAGATCGATGATGGATTAAAAGTGCCACGATAAAAAAAGGGAAAATATATGGCTTCTTACCGACCAATCTTATGCGTACCACCCTTAAATGTTTAACAACTATGAGAGAGATTCTCTTTTAGTTTCTTAAGCTTTTTGCCTCTTCCAAAAAAAACTATGAGAGAGGAAATGACTTTTTTTTTTTGTTAAATAATGAGTTGTCAATTTTACAATTTTGCAATGACAGTGAGGACAATATTGATCCTAACACGTAGGGAGCCAGATATTTTCAAAAAAAAAATTATATAAAGAAATTATCATCAAAAGAGTCTGAAAATCTCTTCTTTTTTTTCTTTTACCGAACATAAGTGCCTTGACTACCAGTTTCAACTTATGTTTACTCAGGACGATGCGTTAGGGGAACAAGGGATGATATCCATGAAATTGCGAACTCGTAGAAGCATGACAAACCATTAGAATGCATTCTCGCAGGAAGTAGTCCCTATTTCCACTTTTTGGATCTTCATCTTTCTGAATCGATGCGAAACCTAACTAGATGGATAGACAGATTACTTAACCGAAACCTGATCGGGAGAGAAAAATGAACGACTATCTTGTTCCATCGATTTCTCCTTATTTAGGGTTTAGGGTTTACACTTCCGTTGGCATCCATTTTATTTTATTTTACAAAGACATTATTTTAGAACATAGGGGAAAAAAACTACAATTTACATATATTAATGGATCCCATCCCATAGACATATTATACATATCTAATATCTACAATCTCCACGATTTAATTACTTCTCACATCATGTTTGAAAAAACAACAAAAATAATAATAGTAAAACAAATAAACAAAAAACTACGGATGGATGTGGTTACTAGACCAGCAATGCTGGTTCGGACTTCTCAGTTATAAGTTTCCATCGGAGCTAGGCGGCGGCGGGAGCGTTTGAAGAAACCCACGCAGAGAATTAGCTGTGGTTTGGCCGCCGTAAACTGCCGCCGGCGTTGGATCGCTGGAAGCTTCACAGAACTCCAAGTCCGGCAAAGGGGCAAAAGGGAATGACATGTTCCCATCATATTGGAGCGGTTGGAAAGTGGGTGTAAAGAGAGAAGATGGAGGTTCGAGAAGATGCTGTAAATATTCTATTAAGAAAAAAAAATAGATTTAATCTTATAATGTTACTATTAATATTAAAAAGAACAAAATATTTGTCTAATTGGCAATAGTTATAACGAATTTTATGATGCCACCTAGTTTATTAGCTAGGATAATGGCTAATATATTATAGTCCCAATTTGAAAATATGTTTTTCAAGTATACCTTTGTATTAGTGGAAGTTAAAATTGGCGTGTAATAAACTTATATTTAGAGATTTGTTGAAATTTTGACCTTTTTTTCTTTTCTTTACCCTTTTTTATTACATCAAGTAATCAATGATGAGCGGGTTGGGAATACCTCTAACTTCGCATGAACTTACTTTGTACCTTAATCATTTGAGTTATAAGTTGACATAACCATTTGAGATATGTTCTATTGGGACCTAGCCTCGATTATTGTCAAAAAATTTTGTTAACACACTGAGTGTAATATAATGCGATGATAAAGTTTGGTATGAAATGAAAAGAGAGAAAATTTACCGTGCAMGGGAGGCATTTGAAGAGCTTGTAGCTGGTGTTCCAATGGAGTTTGGTGGTGGAAAAGCAGAAGGCTTTGGAGATGTGGGAGAGGAAGAAGATGATTATTGTGAGTAGTGGTGGGCATGTGAGTGATGGGATCAAATCCCATTTGAATGAGCTTCTTCTTCAGATGGGTGTTCCATAAATTCTTTATTTCGTTATCCGTTCGTCCGGAAAGATGGCTTGCAATCACGGACCATCTTCAACAGGAAGAACACATGATAAAAAAAAATTGTATACATAGACATAAAAAAGGTTGATAAAGAGAGAAATGAATGATGTTATATGTATATATTACTTGTTTCCAAGGATTGAATGGAGATTGAGGATGGTTTGTTGCTCTTCTTGAGAGAATTTTCCTCTCTTTATGCCTGGCCGAAGGTAGTTTGTCCATCGCAGTCTGCAACTCTTCCCACATCAATTAAGCCCTAAACAAAACAAAATTTGAAAACTAAGAGAAAGAAACTCAAAAAATTTTTTGTCCAAGAAACTACTTTGTTAGGGTTACAAAGAATGCAAACATAAAGTTTCACGTTAGCTTAGAAAGGAAGTGATATATCTATGATATATAGGAGAAGACAACTATCTTAATTGGTACGAGACTCTTTTGAGTGAAATAAAAAAAGAAGTAATATCGTACCAACACAAAGATACTCGGGAACAACTAAAGTGCAGTAAATGAAAGGCAGAGATTGGATTACCAGCGAGCTTGGGGAGGGCTCGCCAGCTACGATGGCCATGTTGAGTAATAAAGGCAACAAGTTTGTGATCTTCTTGAGGAGTCCAAGCGCCTCGTTTCACCCCAATTCCATCACAGGAAGAAGAATAAGAAGGAGATCTTCCCATAGTCTTAATTCTGTAGGGTTTAATTTCTTAATTCCCACTTTTCAAAAAGCCTCAAAACTGCACTGGTTTTTTATATAGGAATTATTAGTCATTACTTTGCCAAATTTTAAAGGGGGTGGTGGCTCCCCACTTGGAAGTTGGAACCAAAATGTTTTTGTTTTGATCTAAAATGTCAATGATATCCCAATTTTTTAATCTACCTTTCCAAATACCAACTGCATTTCCAACATTGGCTCACTAATTGCCTTCCTACTCCTTAAGTTGACCCCTAGTACTCTTTTTTACGAGTTCACACAATCAAAATTATTGCATGCTAACCATTTGATTTTTGTACCTTTGTCGGGGTATTTTTGTTCATATTGATTTTTTTTAACCTATTATTTTGTTTGGTTGGATTTCTATTGGTTTGTATGGGTAATTAATGAGGAGTATTAATACCACTAATTATTTAAGTTTGGTTCAATTTAATGAAATTGAAAGTTAAACGTTAAAGCTAGCTCATTAATAATTGTGATCTCTTTTCTTTTTCATTAAATTGAGGTTCTTTTTTCTCTTAAAAGAAATAATTAGGTGATATCACTTCAATAATGCATTTCTCTTTTTTCCTTCATTATTGGAAAAGTTTGTAGTATGTCAAAACAACTAATTTGCTTGCTTAGTTAGGTTTCTAACCAACACATCTAAACTTTGGACTTTTTGCAGCCTAGTATTTTCTCACTGCACAGTTTTTTAACATGTTCAGCTAAGTGCAGATGACATCATTATATTGTCTCATCTAAACTTCATCAAGTAGAGTATTACATCAATAGTTTGTCGATAAGTTAACTCCTGTCGATGTGTATTTGTCGGGTTGACCAAATATTCAACCAACGAATCCATCATATAACTCGATGACTAATATTAATGATAGAGCCTATAAATAACCATAATTCAAAACTAAACTTGAGTGATAATTGAAACTTCTTAAATTTTAGAAACTAAAAGTACTCAAACTTGTAATATAACCTAGTCTTTATATAAAAAGTCATGATTCTTTTATGAGTTTAATTACATCACCAAATTTTCTTGGTTAGATTAGAGACAAAATTAGCTTAAAGATTCGACTAAAATTTTATATCAACCGTACACTGAAACTCTACCGAAAAAATCTGCCGGCAGAAACTCAGCCTACACAATCCCAAGCTAAGCAACCCTGCACCCAAACTTCACACTAGTTCTCTAGATATGCAATTTCTGATGAATTCACTCCTTATCAAACCAGGTCCCTTGATTCTCAATTCACCCTCCAAAAACTCTACATACTTGGCTGTATCACACTAATTTTTCAGCCCCATTTCTGCTAGTACTACCATGGCAACCAAGCCATTGATGCAGCTCAAAGTCACCGACCAGAAACTCACACCCACTAAACCCGCACCTTACACTACCTCTTCTTGGATTTCATTTCACAAGCTCAAAATCTTATGTCTTTGGCAGCTCATATGCAGAACAAGGAAATAAATAACCCTTGAAGCTAAACCTCTCCAAGAACTCTGATAGGGAAAATGGCTCGACTATCTCAACCAGAAAGAATTATTGTTTTTTCTAATTCTCACTTGTACAAATATATTGTTGGTGCTCTTTAATCAAAGTCAATGTTCTATCCTCTTAAGAACATCTATTTGAGAGGTGTTAAGAAAGCTCATGTGGCAAGCAAATGAATGATCATCTCAGTTTTGCTTATAAATATATTCAAAGAGAGAGAGAGAGAGCCTCAAAATCATGTTCCTGAGAGTTATAGAGTGCCGATACATCTATATATAACAAAAAACTATATCCAATTTGAGGTAATGTTTCATTCGTACAAGTACAAATCTTAATGATACCATGTAAAGCTAAGAAAAATGACTAATGTTCTTCCAGCTCAAGTTGTCGAGTGGAAATCCACTCAAAGGCAGCAAGAAAAATAGCCAGGCCCAGAAAGATTTAAAAAATCAAAATATTGGAAAAGGAGAGAATTTTCTAGAATTCCCAGTTTTGGATACAAGACTAACATAACACAATCATAATTCATAACATAGTCAACTGATGTCGTCTATTTAGATTTCTCAACTATTTGTGCTTCAACCTGCTCTGTTAAACGAGCAAAACCTTCAAAGAAAATTTTCTTTCATGGKATTTATCAAAAGTAGAGATGAGAAACTTAACTCTCAAGGGCTCAACCTTCTGTAGTTGAGATTTTGATGGTAGCAATCCGCTCATTCTCCGCCAAAATCGACCAGTTCGGCGACGGCACTGCACGCAACCACCGAAAATCATCAACATTCCCCCAATTTCCTGTCTCCTCGCTCAGACTCGCATCCCTGAGATCTTCTTCAATCCCTTCGTAGCTCACACAATACGGCGCAAATCGAACGCTGCTGCTATCTTCAATGATCGGCCTACTCCTCACTCTCAGATAGAAATCGCTCTTTTTCGCATTGTGAATCCGAATTTGATGGGAGGCCGTTGCAAATGTACACCCCTCAACATCATCGATAAGAATTGAACCCATTACAGGTCCCGTATAAACTTTGCAGTTTCTTAATTTATGAATAAACAACGCCCTTACACTACCGATCAGTTTGACTTCGCAGGAATTAAGTCCCGAGATAGTGAACTCCCCAACATSCGATCCCTTGAAATTCCTTACCAGAACCTCACCTTCCTTGTCTCTGATTCCTGGAGAATCTCGAGCGTTATAGCTCGCTTGCTGCTGATTGTTGATTAACATGGAATCGGCATTTCCATGCCCTGCGTCTTTCGACTCCGATTTTGGGTCTTTCTTCGTGCCCTTATTCTTAAATGAGAATTTCTTTTTAGGTAGCAACTCGGAAGTTAAATTCTCGAGGCTTTGCTTCAATTCCGAAATCGATTTGAGGGAAGCCCGTACCTCATACGAGGGCAAGAAGTAAGAGGTTTCGGCAACGAGCTTCTCGAGGTCGGAGATCGAGGCGGAAATCCTGTCGAGGTGAGATCTGAGTTGAGCGGGTTCCGGCGGCTTGAGGCGGCATTGGGCGAGTTCCGATTCGATTGCACGCTTGGAGTCGGAAAAGCGGACGAGAAACGACGATGTGGAAGAGGAAGAGGAATCGGACTCGGATCTGCGGGTTATGGAGTTCTCTAAGCGGGTTTGATTACGGTTGGCAAGGCGTTCGAGAACTGAAGCGTGTTTCTTTTGGAGGTTCGCGTCCGAAGGATCTGAAGGGATTGAATTAGGGTTCGARGAAGCATCTTCGTCCGCCATGAATGGGTGCTTCAGTTGCAGAGGATTACACCCGCGTGTTAAGTGTTAACAACGGTGGAATTTGTTTTTTTTTTTTTTTCCTTTTCTGAAAATGGAAACGCTGTGTTTAAAAATCTTATTTTATTTGTAAAAATCGGAATTCTTATTTTATTTTCTGATATTTTTTATTCGTTTTAATTTTCCAAACTTCTAAAATTTCTAGACTTTTCAATTGTCTGTTTCAATCTTTTAATTATGCATAAAAAATATTTCAATCTTTTTCATTAAATTTCCATTGATAATTTAATCTGAAATTCGTATATGCTTTACCATTTAATCAAATTACAGATATATATATATATATATATTTTTTGTATAAACAAATGTTTTTTTTAGTTAAACAAATTGTACAGTGAGGGATCAAATTTTTAATTTTCAATAGAGTAATAAGTGCAATAGGTGCAACCATATTCAAAGTGGTACGATTTTTATTTTTACACTATGATATGTATATTTACTTCTTAAATTTAAATAACAAATTTAGTTATTATACTTAAATTATGTACCTATTTAATTCTAAAATTTTAAAAAATTTTAATAACATCTCTAAACCTTCAATTTTAATTCTAACACCCTTACCAATATTGTTACAGTAATAATGAGTGATTAGGATGATGATTGATAATATTAAATTGAGTTCAACAATTACAGAAATAAAAATAGAAATCGAATCATCTATCTTTTGAAGGATAATAAGTAGCTTATCTACAAACGTTCTCGAATTGGTATTGAGATATTTCGGCYTGATTTCTTCGTCCTATAGAATTGTAACTTCCCTACTCGAAGTTCCAGACTTTCAACATACAATAATATAAATCACCCAAAATCATAACATATACTTCAAACATAATGAGGAATCACAAACCAAATTTTGATTCAATCAATGTCAAAGAAAAAGTCCATATAATTCAGCAATCAATATCCATGTCAAATTAAATAACATAGACCAAGAATTACTTGTCCAATAGGCTGGCAGGAATTCAGACATGGCAGCAAATGGTCTTCAATRTCGGACAATAATTCCGGGGGCTCGATTACGTCGGTCCACTGGTCTGTATCGGAATAATGTACCATAACAGTGAGTAGCACCAACACTCCCCCAGTTAGCAGCATGATTCTCCAGATTAAGAACACTATGTGAGCTACAATAATATTTGTTCCAAGGATATAACGCCTCATATTTGAACGTTAGATTTAACCGATGCCCGAAACGACTCCTCGTGTAGTATAAGAGGTGGCATGCTCCATGATCCGAATGGATGTGCTGATACCTTACCACCTGATTACATGGCATAATTCATTCATATGGCTTTATAGCTTAGGGATGAACTCTTTAAAATGTTAAAACTTAAAACTCAGTTACCTTCTTCAGTGGCCTCTTCACATCTCCTTTGGTAAAGTGAGGACAAATGAGAACCCAAAGCTTTTAACAATCTGTCATACTTTTCCTCAGCCTCGCTGATATATTTTGCCTGAAAATGACTTCCACACTAAGTAATGGGAATCAAACAGATTATATATTCTGGTTGCTATTGGCAATCGGGGTAATAGGGATTTAGTCCTTAAATTTTGAAAAGTTCAGTTCCTAAGTAATGTTTATCTAGTCCTTAAATAATGAAAGGTTTTACTTTTAATAACATTCTTAAACTTTTAACTGTAATTCAATGTCATCGTTCTCCTTAACATTATTAATTAAATGATAATATTACATGTCTATTGAATAAATATTAGCCGAGTTGCCACAATGTGACGGATAAATGACAAAAGGGAGTGGACACAAAATAAAGTGGGATGTGCAACATACCACCTTTTCGAAACATACTAAGTTCCTATTTAAATATTGGGTTACTCTAATTTGTCCAATTATCCGCTTCCTTTTATCTTTGGTCTATCATATCAAGTCAATTAGCCTATTGTCTGTCCTTTGGCACGTTTAATCATCATTTAGTTGATGGTTTTTTACAGCAAGAACTACGTAGAATCAAAATTCAAGTCTAAATTTGTAACTAAAATAAGAAAAGCAAAGAGCTACCAGTTAAAGATGATAATCACATTTTTCAAACAATTCAAAGTTCACGAAGGAACATAAACTTCTGATCAATGAACTCAACCGTACAAGATCATAACTACTATTTTTTAAAAATTTAAATTAAATTAAAATCAGTCAAGGTTCATAATGGTTATAACTAATTCACCAATTGGACGCTCATTTTATATCCCATACAGGAAAGGTTTCATTACAACCCCGATCCCTGATATTGCAGCCTCAGAAATTGTACAACTTATAAGATGACAAATAAAGCTACCTTCAGCACTCACCAGCTCAGTTGGAGCTGAAGCTCCATATATCCGGACAAACATGCGCAGAATATTGAAATTATTCTCCAGTACATCATCCTACATGGAAGATCATAGCTCTTATTGCAGATAAATTGGTCACTAAGTATATTAGAAAAATCGTAATCCGTTCATTAAGAACTCACCTCATAGTCAAATCTAATAAAAGGTCATTGAGTCAACCCAGCATCAAGTAAAACTGTTATGCTTGCCTCACGAATATATTGGAATTCATTATTAGTAGACAATCAATTCAGGAGACAAACAGAGCTACGAGCAGCAGTCAGAATAAGAGATGGTTTGATAGAATGCGTAATTAGGAGGAGAAAAGGGGGCAGAATACTTACAAATCGTCAGCTATCTCAACTAGCAATTCTGAGATTGACAGAAATTCCATGTGCAAGTCATTGACCTTCAAAAAGGCTTCAGAAGAACACAATTAGACTAACAAAGTATGGTAAAAAATAGACTAAAACATATTTGCGAACTTAACACATCAGTTAAAACAAAAGAGATAATATTAAGAAAGCGTAGTTAATTTATAATATTGACAAAACTAAAGAACATGGCAATGCATTCCACCACTGGAAATTCCCAGATACTTTTTGAGAGGAAAAAAATATCTGGGGAAATCCCCAGATATTGAAGTCTTACATCAGTAGAACATTAGATTTAAATATSAACTTAAACAGATAATGTAATATTATCTCTAGTAAATACAGATAATGATATATTATCTCTAGTAAGTAACTCAAGGGAAGTTAGATTATCAAGCTTATAGAGTGAAAAATTAAATAAGATGACATCCTCATACAAATTGGAGAGATAACTACCTTCTCTCCTCTCAACTGATACAAAAGAAGATTCAACACTCTGTAATCAAATGATTTCAGATGAATAGCCCGCATTACATCTTCAACGGAGACCTAAACAAAATAGTTGGGATCAATCACGTGCACAAGGAGTCCCTAAATTAATACTTCAATTGTAGGTAAGGTTCTATTAACTACTCGAAAAAAAAGAAGAAGGAAACATGAAATAAATTAAATTAAGACAATGGCAACTACCTTCCCTTCGCTCAACAATGCACCACATAGGTCCCTTTCCAATGCCCAATACTCCTTTCCACATCTTAGTTCATGGATCAACCTTAGCATGGAACAATTAAAAAAGTCAATATTATGATTTAAAGTAAGTCCCTAACTTCTCACGTGGCTGAAGAACAAGATTAGGAGCAAATCATTAACCTGTCCGTCACTAAGCCATGTGGTTCAAGGAGATTAATRAGAGGTTGAAGAGGATCAGATTTTATGGCATTTAGAAACTTAGTGCCCCTTTCATTTGCTTCCTAAATCTCAGCGGAAGTAGAAAATGTGAAAGTTCGTCAGTTAAATGCACAAGTATTTAATAGCCATGTTTCGTACTATCCACTATTATCACCTGAGATTTTCCAAAAGTGAATCCACCGTAAACCATCTTCTCATTCAAAGTGTCCAGCTGCAGCATGAAGATAAATCATTAAGCATAAACAAAACAGAACCCAAAGTCACTGAGATCATAGTAAAGACAAGACTGTGTTATATTATAGATGTACTACTTCAAATAAGTGTGTRCTTATATAATTATAGTCACCCCACACACCAAAGTTTAGCTATTCTGCCAAGTTTATTTTAGCAACAGATATTCCAATTTTCAAATATTCTCCAGCCACATAATTGCCGTAGTTTTTTATGTTGAGCCTCGAGCAAAATTCAACTTAGTCAAGAATCTTATTTTCCAATTCTTAATATTCTATCCTAAATTTTCGTGGTACATTTTTTTTTTTTACAATTTTGGTGTCATGTGTGCTTGACTAACAATAGGACCTAGCAGATGTTCCATGCTAAACATCCTCCAACTTCCACATGTATCATTGAAGAGCTATTATTTTTACATTGACATTATCCTTGAAGTTATTGGACTTCAAGGATTTACTGGGAATTCCGGATCGAAGAAGAGGCAAATCTAAATAGGGTGCAGAAAAACCTAAATCGATATTCAAATTTTTCACCAAAAACACCTAATCCTAAAGAACAGTGTAGGACGTCACCTGATATATGTAACTTTCTGTAAATGAAAGGACAGGAAAATATTTGAATACAGATTGAGGCTTGTTTACATCCATTCCGTGAAACATGAAATATGATCTGAACTGCAAAATGCATTTTAATGTCAGCTTTTTATAGGGCATAATCATGACAGCCTAGGTTTGCTGATGTAAAAGATACTAGACATAAAAAAAATAACTTTTAATGGAAATTTATTTGAAAAAAAAAAATCCCTGAAATAAAAGGATATACCCATCTTATACCTTTAATTAAACTAGAACAAAGATTAAAAAGGAGAGAGAGGTGATAAGAAATCTCCCAAGCTCAAATTATGATTTACAACAATAAATAAATGAACAAAACCCTCCCAGTAAGAATAGGTACTTATAGTTGTTGAAGAATCAATATATGATAAACGGATTGGAATTCTCCCTTCGTGAGAAGAAGTGCTCCATGAGCTCACTCAAAATAACCCTCCCGTTTCTCCAGCATTTCCTCTTTTTTTCTTTTTCTTTTATATCCATGTGTCCAGGCCAGCTTGCGTGCTACTCGACTAATCACGGGCCAACCGTCTGACCCTACTATATTTGGTTGACAAGGAAACTTGTAGAATATTAAATCCTAGGTAGGTAGCCACCATGATTTGAACTTCATTATTTTCATTGGCCCTCATTGACCACAAGGTCATCCCATGATGGTTAGCATTCCCTTTTCCTTCTATACTAATTTTGCTACCATCGATGACTCAATGAGCTTGATAATGTTTCAACAAAATGTGAATCAAGCACTGAAGGGCATGACGATCAAAATGGAACTTCATAATTGAAAATAAACATAAAGGGGGAATTAGTATGCATAATTACCAACATTAACAAGAGAAAAGTGGTAAAATTCAAAGATTAAACTTTAATTTATTTTCTATTTTGTGTTATTTATTAGTAGCAGTCTTTTAATATTCCATACAAAATTTATACTAGACACTCACAAAATCTTCAAGTGTAGAATTTGCACGCTGCATTGCATCCAAGCCAACCATAGCCATTTCCCCACAATAGTTCTGGAAAGAACCAAAATCCAGCTTATTGTCAGACTCATAATAAGGCTTCAAAGCGTTTTCCATCTCCTTTCCTCCAAAGTCTGAAACAAATTCAACCACCTCAATAAATGAATAAAATCTTTCTTCAAAACTAAAAGTAAACATCAACACATTCCCTAAAAAACAACCATTAACAAAGTCATTCAGCTACTTTTCTTAGTTTGTTCTCCTATATCTTTGATCATTTAAATCATAAGAGTACCTTCATCACTAAGCAGTAACGATGCATCGCCAAGAAACTCTTCTGAAAACTGTAGAACAAAACAAGAAAAAACGGATAGCCATTGTAGATATAAACTCTTCCCAACAGTTACAGACTCAAATAACATCAATCAAAGTCGTCAGTTGCTTGAGCTCACCTTTGGCATGTACTCAGAAACCAAATCGAGTTTATTGTCAAAGTCAAGCTCTCCACATGGTTGAACCTTAAATTTCATTTAATACAGCAATTCATCAATCTTTTGTTTAAGGTATCAAATAGTTGATTACTAAATCACAATGGTGGGATGCAACCAATAAACAAATGGGGGTGTTGAGATAAACAAATGTCGCCAATCAGAATGACATACCGCGTGAAAATTTTCCGTTCAAGTCATGTAATTGTTGTCTCAAATTTGTGGGAACGGGAAGATAGGAAATTATAAAGCTGGGCAAGAAATATAAAGACGTGTTTAATGAGAAAGTACCAAAAGGAGAACGAAATTGGCAAGGAATCGATTTGAGGAAGACGAGGAAGGCATGGCGATTCCGCGGGACTCCAACAACATAATAAGTTTCTGTACTTGTTCTAGCTTCCTTAGCTCTTCCATTGCTTTCCCTCCGTCTCTGTTCTCACCCAGAAAATGAAAAACAATGGCCAAAGCATGGAAAATGTAACGAGCACGCGCTTTATTCTTGAAAACATATTAATTTTTTACATTTTTCAATCAATATTAAAAAAAAAATCCCTAACTGAAATACACCCGTGAATAAAAAGACTAAAATAGATATCTGTTGCGATGTGACCAATTATTTACAAATACAGCCATAGAATTATGGTTTTACAGACATGAACTCTCACCTATTAAAATTTTTCTATTTTTTTTTAAATACAACAAATGTAAATGGAAGATTTAGACCTTCCTACCTTTAGAAGAGTCCATACTTAATTTCTAAGTTAAATTTATGTTGGGTTTTTTTAATTATACCTACTTTTTTTCGAAAAAATAAATAAAATAAATTAAACCGACACAACAAATTTACTTTGAACTAGAGTTACAAACCACTTAAGAGTGTGGGTACTTCATTCTTTCAAAAGATGATTCTCTATTGCCTTCTTTGTCAATCCATAGATCACATTATTATCCYCATTCTTCAATTACGGAAAAGGTTTCTTCCACTACACTAACCAATTTATATTTGACTGCAAACAATCGAGAAGATTGACTATTTCTATTGAATCAGATCTTTGAGAGATTGGACATTGGTTAATTTGATTAAGAGCGGGTTGATGGTCACCTAGGTATTTGACTTGTATGTTCCAATTATACCTATGCTAAATTTGGGTGATGGTAATTTTATATCAGATAAATTTATATAGCATGGTATGTAGTGGATTAACAAAAATTTAGCCGATGAATTTAGCAAACTAAGTTTTTTAGTTTTCCACAAAATTTCTTCTCTAAATATATGCGAATTTACTAAATATCATGCCTAAAGGGTCCTRTTTAGTGTACTTAAAAAAATCATATTGAGTCAAATTTAATATTCTCCCAAAATAATATAATACAACTTTTAAAATAGAAGAGACTGATTAAAACATTTTAAATAGTTAAAAATAAATTAAAACATCTATATATGTTTAGCAATTAAGATAATAAAATACTAACATGAATATAGTTCATAATAATTGACATATATTGAATATGTTATACTAAGGTCGGAGGTTAATCTTCTATATTCCTAAATTAGTACTAAAAAAAATTAAGGCAATAATATAGTAATTATTATTGCATAGGACTAATTCCACAGTGTTACCAATTAAATTAAAGTACTTAAAAGCGAACAAAATAAAAAAGGACAATTTAATGTCCATCTCGTATTATCTCACCAAATCTGTTCAACCCCACCAAATATTATGCAGTACTGAAGGTTAAATTTATCCTTAAAAACATCGAGGTTAATTTTAATTGTCGTTATATATTTTAAATTTTCACATCAATCAAGTTTCATCTAGTTTTAAAAATGCTGTCATTAACTTATTATCCATGTACTTTAATTATACCATTCTTATTATAGGTGAAAAATAATAAAAGTTCTATCACGATTATGCCATATTATTTTAACAACCTAAGAATTTAACACATATAGGCCAATATTTTGTAGATTCATATTTTCTAATCACTATCTACTTTTTTAGATATTGGTGCAGTGACAAGATGTTTGAATGTTGATTCTAAAATACAGATCGGAGTCCTATTGTACGTGGGAATCCACTCTCTTAATAAAGTTAATTGGTTACATTTATAAATAATTTATATTCATTGATCATTACCCATTGAGCATCATTTTTACTAGTCAAAATTTAGCAACAAAATAGAGCTGGCAGACCTATAAACATCTGAGTATTTTTGTATTAACTATATGACAACAGATTGACTGTTGACGAGTCTACAGTTCCTTCTTACTTCCCCCGGGCGGCCAGACTGCAAATCACCCATCTTCAGCATACCCTCCACAAACGCCCTGAAAAACGCGCTCTGATTTCTGCTAAAAAGCCTCACATACCGTCTGGTTTCAGCAAACGTATAAAGAGTTTCATCAGAATTCAAGAACCCTCTCCCACCAACCAAGTCCTTGAAGTACTGATTGTCAAAAACATAGGGCGTGGAGTCAAGGTTCACTGTGACATTTTCATCACCACCTTGCGGGCATCGCCAGTAGAGCTCTTCTCTGAAGCTTGGCTCGATAGCCGGGTCCGGCCGCCCGGTGCCCGACTGGTTGTAGAGCCGAAACATGACGGAGAAACACCGGCCTTGGCCGATGGAGTGTGAGCCAGAAAGAGCAACCAGATCTTTAACAGAGAGATTGTAGTTGTTGAAGAGGTCTATTAGAGAGCTTGCATTGGCTCTTGGACTTGGCATGATCTGGTTTGAGTCCTCTTGGCTCGCTGTTAGGCTGTCCAGCCTGCCCAATCTCACCGCCCAGTTGGGGCCGCCCGTCTGAATAGAGACAAAAATGATACACGAGAGAGAGATATCATACATCAGAGTAACGGAAATTAATGGTCTTGCCATTGGCATTGGCGAAGCAGTTGGGCGGATGGGGACCAGTTTGTTATGGTGGAGAACCATTGGCGTTACTTTTTTATGCAAGGTAACCGTCCAACTCTGCTTTACCAATAGTACCAAACCAAATGTCTATCTATTTACTCTCTTAAAAGGTTTCAAACAATTTATGAATTATGAATTGCAATTCCTATGTAATTCTTGTAATTAACACCATAAACTAAATGTGGATATATGTAGTTGATTCGGTAGATCGTAAGAGATCATCGCCGGAGATGATACATCTAATGAACAAATAGATAAAATAAAATAATATCTGCTATGTAACTTCTTTTTTGAAGCAATGTATCGAATTAATTCAGGGATGGTATTGTGAAAGGATTGGACTACAAACAATTATAATTCGGAAGTTCTAAATTGATAAATTAAAGGTAGAGTTAGTTTTTTCTTTTAATCACTTTTTTTTTTTTAATTTGTGTGAGGAAAAGTAGTCCTGTTTTCTGCATTTCCATGGAGGATTTATCAGAAGCGGAAGAATCGACGGTGAAAAATCAAGCAAACAACAAAAAGGTGAGGAAAACGTAGAATCTTCAAAGAAATTTCCTATGATCCAAACAGAGGTAGAAAGAAAAAAAAAAAGAAAGCGAAAGAACTTACCAGAGCAACGGCGTCCCTAGATGCCATGATTATGATGTCTGCGCAAGAGACGATTCCAGGACAGACCTTCTCCAACGCCTCCTTCACTTCGTCGACGACTTCGAAAGATCGAAGCGAATTTATGTTGGAGAGAGCGAGTTTTTCCCCGAGCATCGTCGGAGTATCATCCAGCAACATAGAAGCATCACAGCCCTGAATTTACCAGAAAAACAACGCCGATTCTCAGAAACCAAACAGAAAAAGCAAAATCCAAAGAGGAAAACGGAGAGAGAGAGAGAGAGAGAGAGAGAGAGAGAGAGAGAGAAGTACATTGACGAAGCAATCGTGAAACTGGAAGCGCATGACGGAGGCGACACTCCGAGGCTCTCTGAACAGAGCTTTCTTCATGACACTCCGGACGACGGATTCGGCCTCCGGGCATGATTTGGCGTAGTAATCTGGCCGGAGCGTGGCCGGAGAAACCGATGTGAAGTGGAAGCTGAGAAGCAGGAGAAGAAGAAAAAAAGGGAACATGATCCTACGCGTTGGGAATACAATTCGTCCAGTTTTCGGCAAAAAGCAGTTTGGAGACGCAACTTTTTATAGCAGCACAATCGCAAAGCTTGAAACCAAGTTCTAGGCGAAGACGACAGCTCCGTGGTCTATACTTGGTAATAATGGCAATTTTATGGTCCTTCCTTAGCTTCTTTATGAGCTAATTCCACGCCCCACAAACCAATCATTTATCATAGGTAAATTATTGTACATTTGAAGATAAGATCAATATATTCTTCAATTAACACATATATCTCAATAAAAAATAAAAATAAAAATTGGAGGTCTTGTTCATTTAAGAAAATACTTGTGAATTTGCATTATATATCTAATAGGTTCATAAATTTTCTTAGGTAAATTTTTAGAAATATCAAATAGGTAAAGAATTATTAAAAACAAAATTAAAAGGTATGGTCTTTCAAACCTTATTAAACACAAAATTGAAAGTTTCAAGACCTACGAAACATGTTCTAAAGTTTAGAAACTTATTAAACATAAAATTGAAAATTTAGGGACTTATTACCAACTTGAAAATTTAGGGATAGAACTTGTAGTTTAATTTAGATTAATTAATAAAATAATAATAATAGATGTTACTAATATTTTAACTGATCAGAGTTATGCAGGGTAAAAATAATGTCTAAACGTCTCATTTGAGTTTAACTTTCAAATGAGTACTTTTATAAAATTGGGAAGAGCAAAGATTGCTTTCTTAAATTAGTGCCCTGATAATGCGATCCTTATTAATTCACGTGTATTGCATTTTGTATAAAGTTTAGCATATAAAAATTGTATTTGTAAACAAATGTGCAAAGTTCTTGGATCGTAGTTTGATTACTCATAGTATTAAATTTTCAAACATGTTGATATTTTATATTTTCATAGGTTAATTTAGTTCATAAATTGATATTTCCGTTATATAAAAAGGAATAATTAATGTGGACCATCAATAATAATAATTTAAAATTTATCTAAACATGTGGAGTGCTTATTTTTTATCCATAAACATCAATCAACATTGAGATCTTATTAATATTTTCATCAATTGAGACATCAACTTTTTGTTCATATTGACATTTAAAAACAAATTTACAATTTAAGTTCTTTTAAGATGATTAAAGATATCAGTGACCRATCTTTACTTTTTCAAGAGGGTGCTAGAAAGGTTAAAAAAATTTTAAACTCACATAGGAGGATTGACAAATTATTGCGGTGGATGAGGCCACACTTCAAAACTCGAAAGGTAAATTTGATAGAAAAATTATTCGTTGGGAATAAATTCTTTGTCTTGTAGCTTGAAAATAAATTGAACTTATAAATTATACCCATTTTATTTGAAATGATATACAATAAATTAAACATCTATTTTCCATATGACTTAATTTCTCCTCCAAACCCATCTAACATCGTATTAGGTAAACTTATATAGAGCAACTCAATTGAAAAAAAAAAAAAAAGAATACTCAAGAAATATTTATTTAGCCTACAATTTACTAAAAATTTTCCTCTCTCATATTTGAGTGGTGAGGAAAGTAGAGTTTGTTGCGAGAAAAGGGAGCATGGCCAATCAATTGGCAAAGTGAATTAAATGGGAAGTGGAAGGACCCATTATTCACCTTTTTTTTTCTCCCATACCATTGATAGTGATGTCCACTTTCAAGATACCTTTTGGTCCAAGGCAACTCTCATCAATACTCTAAGAAATGTAGTGCAAAAGCCCATAATTCTTGTAGCCTATGCTTTTAATTCATAGGTGAGCAAATACTAACTCATATATAACAAAATATTTATTACGTTATAAATAAAGGTAGGGCCAGCTAAGTTATAAAACTTAGGCATTATTATGAGTTTGGCCTTTCATTTTAGACCGTTGACGGCAGAGAACACTCTAATCCGCGACCAACAAATTTTCCAAAACCAAATTGAAGAGAATTGTTACTCAATAAAAATGTTTGCTAAAAATCAACCGAAGAAAGAATGTCAATTTTCCACGTAGTTCGTTGGTTCTCAAAGTAATAGATAGATCTTTTTCTAGTTAGACGTCTATCAATGCAATGAAAGAACCACCCCTTCCTTTTTTTTTGTCCTTAGCAAGTCTAAAATCTAGTGTATAATTTGAATAGGGTTTAACTGGTCAAGATTTAAGGTCATTTCTTCAATTTGCTCTCCATTTCTAAGTTCGTAGCCTTCGCAGTAGCTTCATCGATGTTACCTACCAAATAAAAGGCTTGTTCGGGAAGATCATCTAATTCTCCCGAAAGGATTAATTTAAATCCTCTAATTGTTTCTGCTAGGCCAACGTATTTCCCCGGGGAACCTGTAAATACTTCTGCTACGAAAAAAGGTTGTGATAAGAAACGCTCAATTTTTCGTGCTCGTGATACGGTTAAGCGATCCTCTTCGGATAATTCGTCCAACCCAAAAATAGCTATAATGTCCTGCAGTTCTTTGTAACGTTGTAAAGTTTGTTTAACTCGGTTTAAAAAAAAAACTGTTATTGTCACTTTTTCTAAAAGTTTGAGGTTCAAATTCTTATCCCTATTCCTTATTATATATGTATACACATGCATGTATACGAGCTTAATATATGTTTTAGTTCCTAATATACGTTATTTAGAACATAAATTAGATAGCTTAGAAAAAGAAAAACCAATATTTTTTCTAATCTATAGAAATTTGGAGAAGGAATTAAAAATATCGACTTAATTCACCGCTTGTTATCAACCAATTTTAATATTTACGGAAGAAAGGGAGATATAATATAATTGAAAAATATTTAAATAATAGGGTAAAATTGGAATTGAGAATGAAGATAATTTGTTTACTATTATCGTTAATGACTTATGGCCCGCTCACGCTGTACGTTGTTGGGCCGCGAACTGGAGTCATTTTTATGGGCCTTACGACTTCGATTCGCTGCAGTTCCACGCATCAAACGAGGAGATTTCCAGAAACGAAAGCGGAATTGCGAGCGAAAGATAGATGGAGGAAGAAGAGCACGAGGTGTACGGTGGAGAGATTCCAGTCGAGGGGGAGATGGACGGTGACGTTGACATGTCCGCCGGCGACGACGACGCTGTTAAGGTTGCGATTCGTTCTTTATATTTCTATTTTTGAGCGCTTCGGAGAAAACCAGAGGATTCGAATTCTAGTAATTCATGTCCAATGGTGGGAGGCCAACGAGTAAAAGGACGTACGCGTTGGTTCCTGCGGTAATCCTTTTTTTGTCTTTGTGTGATTGTGTATGTTTCAGGAGCTAGACGAGATGAAAAAGCGCTTGAAGGAGATGGAGGAGGAAGCAGCGGCTCTCCGAGAAATGCAAGCCAAGGTTGAAAAGGAAATGGGAGCCGTCCAAGGTTGTTTTCTTATGATTACGTATTGTTATTTTCGTTTATTAAGCATTTGGTGATTAAATTTTCGTTGATTATTGGAATTTGATTGGCCGAATTGAATCAGTTTCGTTGCCGTGATATTGTTAGCGTGATGGAAGAAACTATTATTTTGTGCTTGAAATTTTTATGTGTTGTTGTGGTCTGTTCTGCTGGCTTTACCACCTATCATATTTCTTGCATTAAAATCGTGCATTTTCTTTCCTCGTGTAACATCTGGGGAATGGTTCGGATTATTGAAATTTTATGCTATGCTTATTTGAAGTTTTTGCTATTGTTTTTGCCTTTTTGGTAGAGTATTGTATTGTTATCGCTTCTGAAATGGGTTATAATTTTTGAAATTAGTATTGGGGATTTAATCATAATTATTTCTTTCTTTGATGCTGTACTTTGATGGGTCCATTACGATGATTAAACAATAGCTACTATATACTGTTTCTGCATAACGGAGGCAGATTTATTTACTATGTCAAAATGCCTTGACATTTTGCTGCTTAATTGTTAATTTTAATTTTAGAATACATTTAAGTATGGAAGTTTAGTTTTATGTAACCTATGGAAGCAATAGTCGTTTATTATGAGGTTTTAAGTTTTTACGTGTCATAATTTAGCTGACATGGCAAAACTGATTATTGTTATGGTTTTTAACAGAATCCAATATCGAGTCATCCCATCATGTTGGTTGAAAGTTTCTTAAATTGGGTGAATTTCATAGTATACTAGCATAATAAGCATTGAGGTTATTTTTCTCCAATTTGACCTATTGCATCTATGGTTGTTATGTGTGATGCAGATCCTGCTGGTACATCTGCTAGTCAAGCTGGCAAGGAGGAGACTGATTCGCGATCAGTATTTGTTGGCAATGTGAGGAGAAAAATGTTCCTACAGATGTTCTTTAGATTTGAAAAAAATTTGTTCGTTGTTTCATCTTTGAAAAAATGTTGTTGAAATGAGAAATTTCTGAAAAAGTTATCAAAAAAGGAAAAAGAAAGAAAGAAAAATGTGAAGGATGGTTGTAAGATTGGTTTAACGAAAAAAAGTGAGAAAAAGAAAGGAAGAGAAAAAAATCTGAGTTATCAGAAATCTAGTGAATTGTTGCATTTAGCATGTAGAGGGGGACTGTTTTTAGTAACTTATGCTGCTGAAAGGCATACGTTCTGGAGGCTGGGACTGTTAAATGAGGAATAACGGTGTCGATAGTTCAACTTCACTATGCAAGGGGACAACCCAAATGTCTCTGAGGAAGCAGAGGAAAGTCATGGGCATGCAATTTTAGTTGCAGAGCCTTTTCAATGCTTGCAGTATGGTCGTTTGTGTCTCACAAATGAACCATAAAGGAAGAGGCGAGGGTGTAAGATCATCGCTTTTTTGTGGCATTATTTTTCTAGTTTGTACTTCATGTCACCCAGTTAGACCAATTATAGGATTTTAATGCATGCATTTCACTTTAGCTAATGACTACTGAAATAATGATTGAGCCTTTATTTTTTCTTTTTCACATTAAGAAACTATTTTACTTGATTTACCTACTAACCTAGACTTTTTCTTTTTAGTAAGAAACTCAGCCTATGATCTCCCTGCAGATAGACCATGCTAGTTTCATTGGGTAATTTAGATTACAAATTATGTGAGCTAATAAGTTTAATGTGGAAACCTTCTATGTTGAAGAAGAAATACCTCATTCTGAATCATATCAAGAGCAGAAGTCTTTTGTACTAATTATAATGGGTTCCTTAGTGGATGTAGGCTTGCTTGAAAGTGTGTATGCTATGTGATTCTCATGCCTCTAATTGACTGACACTTCATTGTTGCATGTTGAACATATGATTTGAATCTTTGTTGTGATATAGTGATTTTGGTAGATTTGCTTTTCTTGGCATAGTTTATGGCTCTCTTCCCTGCCAATTGGAATTTTGTTATTTCACAATGTTTCTCTGGTGTATCTTATCCCAAAACCTTGTTGCTTTGCTGTGATAAAGTTCTGCTTGATTTGTCTTTTCTTCCTAAGTTTGTAGATGTATAAGTAAACTTTATTAAGCAGCTTAGCTATTAACTAAACAGTTAAGCTAAGCAGTTAATTTATACCGAAAATGTTTCTAATATTTATGTTAAAAGGTAAACAGTGATCACAAAATATTATTCTTCTCCGTAACAACAGTTTAACTCAATTATTACTAACTGATCTTTTCTCAAAGGGATTACTAATAAATTTACTTAAAAGAACAGAGAAAACGTAGAATTGCTGTATTCATTGTTCATATCACTTTACTATTTTATGCTCAAAGCTCTGCTTCAAGAATCAAAATCCTTGTTTTGAAGGTTGACTATGCATGCACGCCCGAAGAAGTGCAACAGCATTTCCAATCCTGTGGTACTGTCAACAGAGTGACTATTTTAACAGATAAATTTGGCCAACCTAAGGGCTTTGCCTATGTAGAATTTCTTGAAGCTGAAGCTGTTCAAGAGGCCCTCCTTCTGAATGAATCTGAACTACATGGACGCCAACTGAAGGTATCTTTTAGGATTTTTTTTAGTGAAAGCTCGGTTTTAGATTGAAGGAACAACCTTTCTGGTTCATTGGTATAAGAGTGGACATGCTATTATTTGCCTGGTTTATCCATTCCAGGTTTTACCCAAGAGGACAAATGTTCCTGGTATGAAGCAATATCGTCCCCGGCGTTATAACCCGTACATGGGATTTAGGAGGCCTTATGTACCACCATATTTCTATTCACCTTACGGCTATGGGTATGGTCTCCTGGATCTGAAGATTGCATTTTTCATGAAACTCTTGATTTTTGCTAATGGCTTGATCCCTCAATATCCCATTGCAGGAAGATGCCCCGGTTTCGAAGGCCGATGCGATACATGCCCTACTATTAGATATTAAGATTGTCCAGGTTTGATAAGTTTGTTCTGAAAGAGTTGATACTTGCTTCTGATCCTTGAGAGTACAGAAAGGATACAAGTCTATCTTCACAACATTTGTTATTTCTTTTACTATCTTGGATACTTACAATAATCAAATCATTTGATATTTGAATAATATTTTTGCTCTATGACCTGTTGAATCTATTCAATGAATACTTTTGAGAGTAGTGTTTTTAAATACTTATATAAAGAAAAAACAAACCCATTGTCTAAGCATGAACTAAATCAAGTAAATATTCAGGTCTGTGGTGGAGAATTTTGGGAACTAATCCGTCCATAAAGTAATATGGGTATTTTCCATCCGTCTTGTAAGATGGGTATCAGCTTCCAAGTAAATTAGGCTCATTTGATGGTTTTCGTAATGATTGAGAGTTCGGTATATTTTTAATTTGAGGATTTTAAAAAAATATATTTTTTAATAAGTAATCATATTTCAAGTGTTTAAACTACGTGTTTGTTCCAAAAAAAAAAAAAAAAACTACTAAAGTGTTAATCACTTAATTTTTCTTTTAATAATCATCTCTAAGTATTTATTCAAAATTTAATTTCCAACATTTTATTTTTTTGAGATGTTTTTTATTTATCTTAAACATTGTGGATCCTTTTAAAAAAATAATTTTTATCTAAAATTTCTTAAGAAAGTATACTAAGTCTTCTATTTAAAAAGTATTTAAAAAAAAAAGTCATTTCAAACCCACTATAAATTGGTGAACCAATATGCTCGACTTCCATATCAAATAAAACACATGGATTGAAAAAAATACCCAATAAAATCTTCTTAAAAAAAAAGAACTACCCAATAAAATTTTATTTTTGTATAGGGAAAAAGGAAAAAGAAAGTGAAGTATAAGGAATAAATGATTCTAAAGTTGGTGCTAAAATGGTCTCTCTGTTTCTGATGGTTGAAAATTGTAAGTGAGGTCCACTGCACTTGAGAGTTGAGCGACCAAAAATCTCCATCGATGGTTACAATGCTCCTCCTCATTCCAGGGAAGAAGAATTAACCCATATTCATATTCAACGAACTCATTTTCTTCCCCGTTGTTCTCTTCTCTTCTACCATGTCATTGCCTTCTCAAAATCTCTTCACATGTTCCGGCCGTTTCAAGTTCTGTTGCTTCGCCAACTCCGGTCTCAGAAACAACACTTCCTTCTCTCTCCCGGTTGCATCTCCATGCCTCCATCAGTTCCACTTTCAGAAGCATAACCTACAAATACCTCACAATTTAACCTCCCGCCGGAGTAATTGTCTGTATGCCATTGGAGTTTTTGAATCCGAACAAGTTGCGGGGAGTCACGACAGGGATGGTGATTTCAACCTGGAATCGATTCTTTCGTTCTCTGAATTGCTTTGTCTCTTTTCCTCTGCTGTTTTCTTGGTTGTTTTTGTCGTGAATTTCGTTGGTTATAATTCCAAGAAGGCGCTCTGGGTATTGATAGGAGATAGGGGTTTGGTTTGGGGCTTCCCTTTGCTGGTAGCTACTGTTGTTCTTAACGCGTGGATTCGAAGGCGGCAGTGGAGACGAGTATGTTGGAAAACAGCGAAAGGTGCATTGGAGGTGAATTTGTTGGATAGGATTGAGAAACTGGAGGAGGATTTAAGGAGCTCGACGGCCACGATTCGGGCCTTGTCTAGGCAGCTTGAGAAGTTGGGCATAAGGTTTATGGTCACACGAAAAACTCTCAGAGATTCAATTGCTGAGGTATTCTTATCTCTTTTTTGCTTGTGATCTGTGTTGATACCCGACAACATATTGCTTGTGATCTGGACATGCATAAAAGGAAACTTGAATTGGTTAATTCTTCTTCCGGTTTAACTTAAAGAGAATTGAATAAGTTTTGCCCTTTTTTGTTTGTTTAAAATTCAATTGCATTCAGCATTTTAATCATGCTGAATTTCAATGCGTTTTTGCCTTTTGGCATACTTCGAGAGACTTAGTAAAAATTCTAGTAATGTGAGTTGACAGTAACAAGGATGAGAAGTGGGGATTAATCTATAAGCTAATCACTTTACTGTGCCTAACTTCAGAGACTTTTGAGGGGTTTTGTTTTTCTTCGTCTGTCTTTTGTGCGTGTGTATTTTTGTAACGAGTGTGACATATGACTTTAACTAACTCTTTTTCACAACCCTCTATTGTTTTTACACTATTAAAGACTGCAGCATTAGCTCAAAGAAATTCTGAGGACACTCGAACGTTGGCTGTGCAAGAAGATATTCTTGAAAAGGAACTCCTTGAAATGCAAAAGGTCTTACTAGCCATGCAGGTAAAAGTTAAAATGACTATTAAAACTGATAAACGAAACTCTGTGTTTATTTAATTTGTTTTAAATTTAATACCCCTTATAGGCTTTATATTGAATGGATGCATGAGAGAGGATGAGGGTTGGTTGGCTTCAATCTGTTATAAATACTGATTTCATAATTAATAGGCAACTACAAAGAACCTATTATTAATTTTGTTTATAGTACTTTAATTACAAAATCTTCCTAAGCTATTAGATAATGTATCCTGTTGAGGTATATTTTTTCTTGGGATTCTGAAATTAGTCTTACATGAAATGATGAAAAACAGGTTTATTTTGATAAGATTTCATTGTTTGGTGGGTCAATTATGCACGATATTGCTCAGAATGGGGTTAAAGGATGAAGTTTGCTAAAAACTAATTTGAACTTCTGCAATGAGTTCATATGTAGGAGCAGCAGCGAAAGCAGATTGAGCTGATTATTGCGATTGGAGAAAAGGGGAAGCTGATGGCAAGAAAACAGGCACTTGATCAAGAACGAACAAGGATTGAAAGACACAAGTCTGCCAATGAAGATTCAAAAGAACTTGAAGCTTACGGAATCTGAGTTCGGATCCTTATCAAAATTTTCCCATTCATTATCACTGTTTTTCTCTTGTGATTTTAAGTTAAAACTCCACTCTTTCTTGAAATCATAATTGAAAAAAGTAATAAACTAATTAATAGAAAGGTAAGGAAAATCCAGGTCTAAGCTTTCAATAAAACTGTAGACGACCAAATCTAATTGAATTTTGGGCATTTCACGGCTGGTGGTTATGGTCTTGTAGCTTTCACTGTGACACAAAGATTGTCGAGGGGTGGGTGTGGGGGGTGAGGAAGGAGACTAATTTTCTGAAAAAGGTTGCTCATCCCAAAACCTCTGTTCTCAGGCACGTAAATGAAGAAATCACCATTGAAGATTACAGACAATGTCATCTCTTTGAGTTCTCTCGCTAGGGGTATGCTTGGTTCTTATATTTATTATATATGGTGGGTTAGAGATCCTATGGCAGCTTGCATTGTTTAAAGATTGCACGAAGAGTGCTATATTTGCTATATTTGCTTGCTTTGGCCAGATTTCAGATAAGTAACAAAGTCATATTAGAATAATTGGCTTAAAAGTCAACAAGGTATTTATTCTTAGAGCAGTAATCACAACAATAATACGATAATTGTTTGGTTTTTTTTTTTTAAATCCTCTCACATGCCTACGCTCTTTGACATGCAACATGGCTACAGTGAGGTGGATCACGATGGACTGTTTTCTCCATGAGCCTGAATTGGACTATATACACGGTAAGGTGGATTGTTTCTATAATTATGATAATTGTAGCCACTGTTTGAAGTTATTGATTTGATTGAGCACATAAGTTTTTCCCTTTGTCGTAAATTGTGTGGGAGGAATCTTACTGAGGATGTAGGTAGTTGTTAGGCCTGTAGAGAGCGATAGAGATATAAAGGTGATATCAGAGCCTTTTGAGTGATAGTATGGCGTTTGGAATATAAACAGAGCATGAATAGGAATGTCAGTCATCGTATAATAGTAGTGAAGAAGGCGAGTTTAGTGGTTTTTACTTTTTAGGGGGAAGATGTAGATGAATGTGAAATGAAGAATGTAGACAACCACCTAATTTGGAAGTGACAAAAAGAAAAATGCAGGAACATGTGGGGAAAGAGAAGGAAGATCAGTCAGTGGAGAGGCATATAGGAAGTGGTATAAGATGTAGACTCATTCGAAGGCTCCTCTGATTCAAATTGTTGGGGCAGAATGAAGTTTCCACCTTTTAAGGAACATGTAAAGGATCAATCAGTTAAGTCTAGACGAGTTTCTAATTTATAGGTCCATTAAGTCTGCATAGTCCTAAAAAACTCATATTGAAACTAAATTTGACTATTTAATGGATAAGATACATCACTCAAATAACGGATATGATCTATTATTAGAAGAGAAACCCAAACCCAATAAGGAACATAGCCTTTGAAGCTTCATTATTGATTGAGTCTTTAGTCTGATGATATGCCTTGAATAGTTCAAGATCCAAGCGCGGTTAATAACTGGGCTAAGAGCTTTTATATGATCAACTTCATTTGGGACCAATAAGCCTTAACCACATAGAGACCCACCTCCACCTATAGCCTGAAAGGGCTGTTGATAACCTAGCTTTTCTATTAGGTGTAGGACTACCCAACGTAAGTTTCAATTGAGAAATATATTTTTTCCCATGTGGGACAAGTGTAATTCAATTAAGCAACCCTCTCTTCTTCTTTAAGTTTTTATATATGATAAAATTTAGGAGGATTCCTACTTATCTACCACTATTAAAAAATTTACAGTCTATTCTCTCCCTTTCTATGCATTCACATCTTAGTTGTCATTTTTACTTAATGATAGTAAGCAGGATATACCTACTTACCGGTAGGCTTTTAAGTTCTATTGTTTGAGGGATTGAGATTTCTAGTAGATTCTTGTTTTTATTCATTTTATTTATGGAGACTCGATCTTTGGACATCTAGATTCAGCAAAGGAGATGAGATGTTGAAGTATGATATTTAAAGTATCGAAGAACATGTCAAAAAATAGTTTTCACATAGCTTCGTGCTGTGAAAAAGCATTTGGGTCGAGGCTCTCGAAACCCCAATGTCAAACTTGACAGAATTGTATAATGCTTTTTTCTTGTTTCCTGCTGTGGTTTTGAAACCCTAAAGACTAAAGAGATCGTGTTCATGAAGGATTCTAGACCGAGGAAGAGTTCCAAGGAGATTAAGGCTATTATGAAATTTTGTAATCTGAAGTTTAATTTTTTTTTTCTTTGAATATTCTAGATTATGGCAAGTGTACTCATAGAGTCGTAGTTGCTTAATTAATATATATATATATATATATATATATATATATATATATATTATGGAATATACCATATGTTTGATAGTTATGTGTTTCTTTTTAATAATATAATGATATTTATGTCCTCTTATGTAAGTAAGAGTATGTCAAATATTATCGATCTAAGAATAGTTTAATTGGTTAAGACACTTATCTCCAACTAAAAGATCTTGAGTTCGAATTTTCGTCCCTACATGTTACTTAGAACGAAAGAGTATATGAAATGTTTTATAGGTTTTTCTTTAATACATATATTTAGTCTCAATTAGACAGTCCATTTTTGTTTTTGAATTTAATGATATTTGTGAAATTACAAATTTAGTATCTAAATTTTTTTAATTGTGTTTTTTAGTTATTGAACTTTAAAAGATTTTAGCCGCGTTCTATTTATGATTTTGATTCTATTCAATCTACATTGCTACTCAAATATTGACGTAACATATCATATTTTTATACAACATGTGGGAGTAGGAGATCTAACTTACAACCTCTTAGTTGGAGATGTATATCAATTTACCGTTTAATTATGTTCATTTGGTCTAATTTTTTTTTAAATTTAGAATATATACTATGAAAATATAATGGTGGTAATTTGAATGTTTGACCTAAAAGGGAGGTTACATCTTAACCAATAAATTTTACTCAAGTTGGCATAACAAACTTTTTGGTTAAATATACTAATCAGGCTATCCAACGATAATAGTAAAGCGAGTAAGTTAGCTAGATAAGGTAAGGGTAGAAAAATAGAAAATTTGGGTTCAAAGTGTATTTTGCCTCGCTTCCAACATCAGTTTGTTTTGGTACACCAAGTTGCACCGAATTGTACTTTTTACTGGGATAAATTTATTATTACTTTATGTGGTGGGGATCCAACTCATAATTTCTTAGTTGAAAATATATGTTAACTACAGTTGAGTTAGACTCGTTTTGATTTATAGGCAAAAATTATTCATTAAAATAATTAAAAAATTTTAACTTTTCCTTAATATATTTAGACACACATACTACATGTCATTCAAATATTATTTAATTTATAAAATTCAGTTCGTCCAGCAAAATACTCTATTCATTGTAAAAATTACATTTTTTGAAATGAGACATCAAAATGACATATCTATATATCCAAGTACAATATTAAAATAACAATTTAATAATATATAAGCTTTAGGTCAAAAATTTTAACATAATTTTTTCAGGTAAATATTTAATTAAAAGTTTTTAATGACATAATAATTATAATTATAATTATTTTACAGGAAGAGGTAAGTATTTTCTTAAATATATGCCAATTTCAATTTGTGTAGAATAATAAATAAAAGCGCGTGGCACGCAGATAAAAGCCCAACCCACTGATTCGGCCTTCCCACCGCCATTGATTCCGTAACACGATTACTCACCTCCCCATTCTCACCCTCTCCTCTGCTACAAAACCAAATTTCTTCATCCCTCTCACTTCTCTTCGAATAGATTCCGAATGTCGTCGGTGCTGCAATTCGCGTCGTCGCAGCCGCAGGAGGAACGAGAAGGGGCCGTACCAGAAACCGAACACCTCGATTTGATTCCTCCCAACAGGATTCTGCTTCCTCCTCACACATTTCTCGCCGCCGCCGTCTCTCTAAAGAATCAGGTAACCGCTTCCTTCTACTTCCTTCTTCTACTCTCACTCTCCCGCTCCGTCAGCCGGCGTTCATTCTCGTCGTCCGTCCTAAGACTTTGCCCTAACGCTGTTGGCGCTTGAATTGTTAGGTTGTGGAGGTCACATGGAAACGACGGCGTAACGTGGACGTCGGCGTCGATCCGACGGCGTACACCGGCCTCCTCGGTACGGCGCTCACCTGCCTGAGATCCTACGAGGCCACCGGTGATCAGCAGGACTTGCTATTGTGCTCCGATATCGTCGACGCGTGTACTCTTGCAGCACGTGCCTCCCACAGGTGATCACGTGACCTTGCTTTCCCTTTCTCTATTATCATTATTATTAGGTTGATTTTCATTTTTCACCGTGAAATTAACACTTTTATGATAGAAAATTGAAAGCTAATTTAGTAAAAGAAGTAGAGGTCTAAAATAGAATTCTTATCGCTTAAAGAAATATAAAATTTCAAAGGCTATCTTTTTCAAAAGAAGCCAAAAAAGAATTGGTCATGCTTTGCTCGTTTCGGTACTTGTACAACTTTTGTTTATTTTTGATCTGACCCATTTGGTTTCTATTTATAAAATTTAAAACACAAATTTGTATACTCAATAAAACATCTTTAGCACAAATTTATTGCTACATCAAATTTAGTTACAGATTTATTGTTACATCTCAATAAGTTTTGTGGGTGAAAAAAAGACCAAAATGGTCATTTTAAAATTACAAGGTTTAGAGTAAATGAAATGAACAATAAATAAAAGTTATTTTGAAAGTACATGAACAAAAATTCGAGGACCAAAATGGTATTTAAGAACAATATATATCTATATATATCATAGGAATTAAGAATGATGTATTTGTAAATAAATAAATTGGGATTTGGCCTTGTAGTGCTTGGCTTTCATATCGGTGAAAATATATATTTTTTATATTATCATCTGTTATCCTGAATAAACTGTAATTATATTCGTTAGCAGATATGCTCTATCAACATAATATTGTGGTTCAAAAAAAAAAACGTAATATTGTGGTTTAATATAAATAAACAGTTCTTATTCTTAGTTACAGAAAGCTTCTTTTACAGTACTAGTACCAGGGGACAGGGATTGTCAGGGATACGAATAAAGATATTTAAGAATCCTATCCTAGTCAGACACCAATAAAATATCGTAGTTTTGGAAATTATTTCTAGAAAAGACAATTTATGATGTCATATTTAAAATCTCTCTTGAGGAGGCCATTGGAACTGTCTCTTTTTAATCTTAAATAATTGTTGCTCTTAAACCCCTTTTTAGAAACAGGAAGTATAAAAATAATCTATTGTAGACAAGTATTTACACAATTATCCATTCTTACTAATCTTAAAGTCCAAAATTCTGTGTCTCTGGCAAGATTTTATGAATAGAATTTGTGTCTAAATCTCTATTGTGTTGTTCACTTTTAGGTTTAAACACGATTTAAAAGTTGGATTAAATTTCTAATGTTAAGATAATATTTTAGCAAAGTAAAAGTATACATGTTGTTAACTTTGGTAGAATTATTTTTTAAAAACCGATTTTAGAAGCCAACTTAACATAATTCTAAGATATCTTGTTTCTTTCTTAAAAGTCGGAAGTTCAATCGTTCATTCCACGTTGTTGTACTAAAAATTGATTTTTGAACTTTTTTTTTTTTTAATTGAAAGCGTCAATTTCCATTAAAAGATTCAAAACTGACATGAAATTTAAAATTTTGCAAACCATCTTATTTTCCAGAAAAGAAAAACAAAACTTTGAAAAAGGTAAAATATTAATTTAAAAAAGAACTTGTCATTGTCAACATCAATGTTCTATTATGCACGTTAACTTGTTTTCCATGGAGAAAATATCTTCCCGACATCTACAGATGTCACAATCTTGGTGGCGAAGATGGAGTGATTAGAAAGCTAATCTTGTGGTTTGTCTTTAATTAAGGCACTTATTCTCCTTTTTCCTGTTTTTTGAAGGAATTTGAGCCATAGAATTGTTGGAAGAGTTTGATGTGAGATAATTAATTATTATATTATATTGTTTTCCACAGGCAGTTGACGTTTTTATGTGGTAGAGGAGGAGTCCACGCCCTTGGGGCCGTGGTTTCTCATTACATGGGGGACAGCCAAAGGCTCGACTTCTTCCTCAATCTTTTTCTTCAGGTAAGCTCTAGGTTTCGAGAATTTACTATTAATATTTATTTTTAAATATATATAAAATAAATAATTCAATAATTTTGGATGGATATGCTGACAAAGGTTGGGGTGGGGGAAATAATTTCCAATCTTGTATAAGACACGTGTCTTTGGAGATTTTTGTATCTCTATGCTCTTAATATTCGTAGCCTTCTAGCTCTTAACAACAAGAGAAGTAGTCTACGTATTTATAAACCTTGTTAAGTTTATTGATTTTTTCAACGTCGGATATTTTAACCTATGGTTCTGAATTTTTATCTTATAAAAGTTAAAAATAAGAAAGATAGATATTTTTTGTCAAGAAAATATGATATTTAATGCTATTACAAATATAAGTTGTATGTATGCTTAATGTGCCTCAGGGAGAGAAAAGGGGGAAGATATCCATAGGGCAGGGAAAAATGTACAAAGTTCAGTAATTGATTACTCATTACGAACTTCTTAATTAGTTATCATGTTTCCTGATTAAGTGAACTGGAGAGTTCCTTAATCGCAGGATATTCTATAAGTTTTCAGAATCTAAGAAGGTTGAACGAGAAACTGGGCTTACCCAAGAAGGCATCAATGAAAATTAAAAGTCTAAACAGATAAAGATGGAGATCTAAAAGGGCTTGAAGTCTAAAGATAAAAGCTGAAAATCTTAGAAGGTACCACCAAGTATTTGATGAGGATTTTCATTTTTAAGACAGATTATAAAAACAAAAACAATTATTTTTTTGAAAACAAAAGCATAAACATATAACGGTAATCCAATGATACTCGGTTTGTTATTTTCTGTTTATGAGTTTCCAAAATATAACAAGTTTGCTCTGTTTATCAATTTTTTGTTCAATTTGCATATGAAATATGAAAAGTTGAAGAAAATATAATTCTTTTTTTTTTCTATATTTGTTTTATAAGATTAATTATCATGGGAGAATTTGGGGCCGCAAGAAAGTAGGGATTCGTTGTTAAATGCATGTTTATAACTAAATGGAAAGAATAAGAAACAAAAATGGCTACCAAGCATTTTCTTGTTCTGTGTGGAAAAGTTGAGTGTCCTAAAATATTGCCTAACCTTTTATAGGCAGCACAAGAGAAAGCCCTTCCTGTTGGACCTGAGGAGGGAGGTTTAGGGATGTCTTATGATCTCCTCTACGGGCGAGCTGGGTTCTTATGGGCAGCCCTATTCATGAATAATCATCTTGGAGAGCAGAGGTTGCCCCATGGTTTCCTAATGTCTGTTGTTGATGCCGTGTTAGCGGGTGGCAGGGCGGGCGCATCCGACAACCTAGACTGCCCTCTGATGTACAGATGGCACGGGACGAGATATTATGGTGCAGCCAACGGCCTTGCTGGTATCTTGCAAGTACTTCTCCATTTCCCACTCTCAAAGGAGGACGCTGATGATGTTAAGGGGACTTTGAAATATTTGATGAGCAAGAGGTTTCCGCATAGCGGCAACTATCCCTCGAGTGAAGGAAACCTCAGGGACAAATTAGTGCAATGGTCTCATGGGGCAACCGGCATGGGCATTACCCTCTGCAAGGCTTCACAGGTCAGATAAATGCATTTCCCATTGCTCTATGTTAGATAAGATATACATGTTTCTTCTTAATCTTGTTTATCCATATTCTACATAGAAAGAAAGATATCGTGATCTTTACTCGAAAAGAAGTACTTGGCCTTCATGTTTGGGGAGTTTGAGATATTTTGTCAAGTTTAGGCCTTGTTGATCAACTCTTTATAATGCTAATTCCAATATTTCTGTTAATGGGTCAGCTCGCTTGTTGATAAGGAATCAATTTCCACCTTATTTTTCCATTATGAGCTGTATCGAAGTTTTGATTACAAGTAGAGAGAAATGAATTGATGGAAAGCTCTTCTGCTCAAATTTCAGGTTTTCCACGAGGACAGGGAGTTCAGGGATGCCGCAATTGAAGCAGGAGAAGTTGTATGGAAAAATGGATTGGTCAAGGAAGTTGGATTGGCCGACGGTGTGACCGGGAATGCGTACGCCTTCCTTTCCCTCTATCGCCTTACTGGAGAGAGTGTCTACGAAGAAAGAGCCAGAGCGTTTGCGACGTTCTTGTATCATAACGCCAGCAAGCTTGTTGGCCCCAGGAACCATGTTGGAGCCGACCGTTCTTATTCTCTCTTTCACGGGCTGGCTGGAACCGCATGCCTTTGGTTCGATCTGGTTGAACCCGAGAAGTCGAGGTTCCCGGGTTACGAGTTGTAGTTCGAGATCAAGCATATCCTTTCAGGTATAAAGTTGTGTATATTAATTATTCCACGGGTGTGCTGATGTTTTTGAGAGTATGGACTTGATGGTTATGACCATAAATGTCTTGGAGCCGCAATGTTAATCAATGTGTTTATGTAAAACACAACTTAATGTTTGTACAATTGAGTTATACTAATATTTGAAGGTTTGGCCTTGAAGTTTGATCTATACGACGATACATGTCAGTTATTTCCCTCCCTCTGTTGCGTTAACAAGTAGAATCTTCTGTTGAATACTACTTGAAAGTTCCTTTTCTCTTCTATCCATGGTGGTCAACTGGATGTTCTTATTTATCTTAGCAAAATACCTAAATTATCCTGATAATGTAGAATCAATTTTTTAATTTACCATTTGATCAATTTTTTTTGTAACCTCTTATAAATTAATAACTGTATTATTGACCTTGATTTTATTTAGACTAAAGGAAAAGATATAAAACTTAGACCATGGAAAGTTTGGTCTACATTTCCTGTATTGAGAGGAAAATTTTGGTCCGCAATCCCATTGGATGGTCTCAAATTAGAAAGGGTTCATTTTAATTGTGCAACTATTATTTTAAAAGTTTTACTATAATTTACCTTTAAAATCGTATAAAATAAAAATTGAATGGCATAAAAGAACTATGTATTTTAAAAATAATAAAAGTTTTCTAAATTTACAAAAGTAACATCATTCAAATTAAACTTGAACATAAACACAAATGCTGTGATATTTAAAGATAAAAAATATAAAGTATAATGTTTTTGAAACTATGTATCTATTAGATTTATGTAATAGAGTGAAATCTTTGAACAAAAATTGTACTATGATGACCACAATTTAACTTGCAAGTGTCAGAGGCGCGACAAATATTAATGTAAACATAGATCAATTAGTTAAATAACGTATCATTGACCAAAAAGATTTGAAGTTGGAATCGAACGGTTTCTTTTTTTGAATTGATCATTTAAAATTACTTAATTTTTTTAAGTGACATTTTAACTTACTTAATAACATATCTTGACAACTATAAATGTCTAATTTGACATTTTATTATTAAAAATATGAAAGATTATCATCGTAATCCACTTATTTCTTCTAATAAATTACTTTAATTTAATAATGAAATCGACCCCTGAACTTTTTGAAAATAAATTTATATTATAATTTCAAAATATTTTTTTATTTATATTATTTATATTTTAAAATAACACTACAAAATTTTACATATGTTACTAATTAGTAAGAACAACTAATTTATTCTTTATATTTGGTTTTTATCAATAACGAGCTTTAATTGAGATCGAACTCACAAACTTTTGAAGATATATGTCAATTATTACCGCTGCTCGCTTTGGGGAAAGCTCACACTCATTCGTATACTATATATAATTATAAATAACAATTAAAAAACTCATGGGTGGTATATTTCTAAGGATTTTGGTTTTAAAATAACAAGCATATATATAAATAAATTAGTGAGTGGGGCAGGGGCGTCTCGAGATGTATGTGGCCTTAAGAAAAACTTTGAAAGGGAGGTCCTAATATGACTATTTTTTTTTGTTGAACTTTATTTGATTAGATGCTTCATTTTAAAAAATGTCATTATCTACTGTTTTTGTTTATCTTTTGATTTGTTTATACATATCTTTTCTTCTATTATTTTATCATTTTTATTACCTTTACTTCACGAAAAAATTTATTGATATCATATTTTTGAGATTCAATCCATTTTTTAGCACATTTTTTAGATTCGATAAATTTTTATATTTTAAATTTTCTTAAGCTTTTGATATCTATATTCATATTTTTTTATAGACACATTAATATTCTTTATTGATACAAGTAAGCAAACCTACACAAATGTCAAATATCCACATATCTAACCATATGAGATACATTTTAAAAAAGGTAAAAGAAATAGGACAAAAAAACATAGAATAATCAAAATTTGAAGCTTTGGTTTTTATTCTAACAATTGGGAGAGGCGGAATTAAGTTAAAATTAGTATAATTTAACGAGTATAATTATGATAGAGTTTTTTTAAGAGAATTCGAAATTTTTTAATTGTGAAAAAATAAATAAAAGGAGAAATGATACAAACGGTCTAAAACTTGACAGAGTTTTGAGAGGTTATATTATTATAATTATTTTAAACGAAATTTGAAAGGTTTTAAGATGAAGAGAAATCAAAATCTAGAGAAATTTATGTGACTGATTTATTATGGTTTTCTATAAAGATCTATATTTAATTAAAGAGTTTTTTTTTAAGAGAAGTATATTTATTATTAATTTGTATAGAACATGTATGGTATATATTATTTTATATTTTAAAGTATATTGATAAGTAAAAACTAATAAATAAATAACAATATTATATTATATTATATATACTAATATATGAAAAATGTGAGGCTTTTAGGATTTGGGGCCTTCCTACCTTACTTCGGCCCTGGAGTGGGGATATTATTGGATTTTTTGAAATTTTGTGGATAAATTTAAAATAAATGAGAAAAAATGGGTGTATACTGAATAATTTGGAGTTTTAGGGTGTTGCGTCTGTCAAGACTGGGTGAATTTTGATGAATGCGTCTCTTCAAGAGACCCATCTGTCGCCATAAAACGCCATTCAAGGATTTTTTTTAAATAATTATTTTATTAATTCACATTAATATACCTACTTTTTTTTAGTATTTTAAGTTGAGATTTTATTATTTTATATTAATAAATAGGTGAATCAAATATGGATACTTTTTAAGATTTTTTTTTACAATAGATCAATCAAATACGGTTACTTTTTAAGATTTCTTTTTACAATAAAGATTTTATTATTTTATATTAATATAACTATTTTGTATTTTAATTAGGTTGATAATTAACATCTTTTCTAGTAAAATCTAAATTAAAATTTCATCACTTATCTAAATTTTTAAATTTTCTTTTAAATATGCTTCATAAACACAAACCTGAAAATTTATAAAAATAAATACATAGATTTAAAATAAGTCATAGTTCTTTGATCAGGTTTGGTAGTTTTAATTTTTGATAGTTTAATAGTGTCTATTTTTTTTAATAAATTTACTCTAGGCATGATTTGGTAGATTTTTTAATATTTAAAATGTTTTTGAGAATTTATATTATATCCTCCAATGTCATAAATTTATATTCTTTTTTTTGAAAATAAATCCACACTATTAAAGATAAATATTTTATTATACATATTTCAAATATAATGTTTAAATTTAGAGATTTTAGAAAATTTTAGAGGACTAGAATTATTGTCTCTTTAAAGTTTGTGGCCGTTTATGAATTTTGATTAATATAGTTAATGAGTTTAATCAATTAATGTCGGAGTTTTCATTTGTAGGTCGATTAGGTTCTACATAACGGTAAAATCAAGATCAAGAATTTGAAATGTTCCAATTATATATGAGAGAATTTATATAATGATATATTATATATAGTTTATTTTAAATAAAGATTAAAAAATTAGACTATATTGTTATGGGAGAATTATTAAAAATAAATATTAATTTTTGTCTATGAACTTTTAGGTTGGTTTTATTGTGATCAATGAAATTTCAAGATATGTATTTTCATTTTAACTATGTATTTATTTTTGTGAATTTCTAGGTTTGTATTTATCAAGTATATTTAATATAAAATTTAAAAATTTAGGTAAATTATGAAATTTTAATTTAGATTTTACTAGAAAAAACGTTAATTATTAAACTAATTAAAATACAAAATAGCTATATTAATATAAAATAATGGAATCTTTATTGTAAAACAAAACCCTCCAAAAAGATAAGCATATTTTATAATTTAAGCCATTATTTTCCTTAAGAAGGAAATCTAAAAGCCTTTTAGTTTTGAAATTAATACCGTGTACAAAGTTTTAAAAAAGGAATATTAGAATAAAATATTTCCATTCGAAAGTGGAGTTAAAAAGGTTGCATTCCTTCCTTTGCCTGATCAAAAGAAACCTATAAATAGAGAGAGGGAGACGAAACGAGAAAGGCGTGAAAATCAATTGGATAGTTATAATGGCGGCTTCCACTTCGAACAGTAACGCAGAGCAGAATGATAACGAGGAGCAGGAGCTTCTATGGGCGGCCATCGGCGCCGGGAAGCTCAATACAATCCAACGCCAACTCATCGTCGACAATGCATTCGCCACCAACGATCAAGATAATTTCGATCTGCTTTCCAGAATCAAACACCGCCTCCATAGGTACATTATTCACAATCA